TTTTTTTTTTTTTTTTTTTTTTTTCTTATGAAAGAAAGAATTTTTATTTCACACATTTTTATTTAAAAAATTAAGATAAATTGTAGAAAGTGTTTAAAACATTTCGGATAATCATTTTACCGAATCTTACTTAAATTTAGAATGTTGAATACATGTTTTGGAAGTCTGTAGCGTTTACTTTATGAAGAAGAAGAAACCCGCCAACACTGGATTTTAACCCATTGCCATACTCGGGATACGGCTTTTATCGTGTGACATTGACAGAAGCACGCGGTTCTCACAAAGGTTTCCTCTTTCCGTTCGTTCTCCCCCTTTTCATTGTCAACATCGCGAGTATCGCGTGATGCCTAAGTCACAACAAAGTTTCTTATACTTACCGATTATGTATGATAGAATATAGTTACACGGATAAAGTGGAAAACTCGGTTGGTCTCGATAGATTGTTGCCGGGTGAACTATATCGCGAAGTTACTAATCCGTTCAGCTTGGCTCGCAGCATTCATGCAATGCGTACGACTTACTTTCGTTATTATTCCAAAGTAGAAATTTTCATTCCGAGATTGTATGATTGAGGTTTTAACATTGACACGAATGGTATAAATGCAGATCCAACGGCAACGTGAAACAAGTAAAAGCCGGATGAGAAAGAGTGGAAAAGGTGAGAAAACAAAATATTAAACGCACACACGAACAAGTAAAAAAATTACACAAAAAGAACCGGAGCTCGCGGCCGCTTTAAAAGCCGTGGCCGTGTGATAAGCGAAAAAGTCCGAGTCGCTGAACCAGGTTCAGCGGCACTTATCGTTGGAAAAGTTTAGTGCACCCTCAGTGAGTCGCGTGCACCACCATTGCAAGCTCCGTCGCGGGATCGCGACGGAGGGCAAAGCGACACGATGCGCGCGATGTGGTGGCGAATTGCTTCTCGTGTTCTGCAGCGCAACAGATCCGTAAACCGAGACGTCAATTTAAACCACGACGACGCCCAAATAGACAGGTGTACGTAAATTTGGCAGTAACTTTATACTAATTGATTTGCACACATTACGTCTCTTATGAGTGATTCATATGACATTTATATTAATCACATAGAATGGGTGAAATATAAGTATAAAAAAGAATTATCAGAACTTGCTCCAAACAATATGACGTGTAAAATGTAATGGAAAAATCTCGGTGTAACTTTCAGTAAATTTATTTATAACTTTCAGTAAATTTGTTTTGCCGCGCATCAATACAACAACTAATTTATAACTAATTTATTATTAGTATGATATAAATTTAATAATGATAATTCGACACACAGCATATTTATTTCATACGTGTAATTAAATGAATTGTAAAGTTTTCATCGATTGTCTCGCGTCGTGATAATCATGAAAATCTATTTGGCCGACGACGGTGACAAAGAGGACACGCCTGCAGAAATTTTACGGAGGTACCAAGCGGCGTCGATATATCGGATGCCGATGATGCTCGAGGTCGGGCGAGGTCGAGCGAGTTTTCGGGGTAAATATTCGATAACGCTACTTCATTGTCCTTCCGATAAACTGGCCTCTGAGACCTAAACGGATTACTCCCGATCAGCCTTTGCTTTTTGGAGCACGAACGACAGATTATCAAAATGCGAGGGTGGAAAGAAAAGGAGCTTAAGGACGTTTAACTTTGAGCCGCGTGAGCTTCGCGAACGTTCACAGGCGTGTTAATGTGTCCTGTCCCGATCGAAAATGCTTTGTAAAATTCATCCGTCCGTCCCGTTCGGGTTTCGTCGTCTGTTCGCGCTTCTGAAGCTATGCTCTTTAATATCTCGTTATATTTTCTTCGCTGATAATAAATTAAGATCTTCTTACCCTATCCGAGATACGTTGGAGATGTATAATTACGCGACGGGGGAGAAGGAAGTTTGAAGAAGTTTGATTTTCCCGAACTCTTTGTGTACTTTCGGAGTATCTCGCCTTTATGTAGTTAATATCCTATAATTAGTACTCTCAGAAATTATTAAAGGCGGCCATTATCATGATTATAATAGTCGCTGAGTCGTATTGTTGATACATAACGCACGTGCAGTTATTCGACAGGTGTTCAACTTGGCCACAATGCGACGCGAGGAGACAAGCGAGTTCCCAGCGAAATAAATCTTATCGCCCTGAAATTACGCGATGCAAATTAAATTATTTTTGAGCGAATGCTCGCGAACTCATCGAGAGACGAAGGTATAATGAACGCCATTCGAATTTGACTTGCCTGTAGATAGCGTCTGAAGCAAAGTATACATTGAGCGAACGAATCAGCAAACGTGTGATACATTCGCGCCCATTTTGCGTCCAAATTTTCTTTGATAAACAACATCGTATAAACGAATCGGACTAAATGCGAATAAGACGTCCTACTTGAATTCGTTGAAGGATACCCAGATTTTTTCGCCCAACGAAAGTTTGCTTCCGTTGTTCGTTCACTCATTGTATATCCAACTTAACAGCGGAAATCGCGAATTCTGCTTTCGATCGGGGATGTTAGTATGGTAGGGTCGCGCGAGGTCAGACACGAGAAGGGCTAATAATGTAGGGCACTGCGCTCAGGAAGGGAGATAACTCACGTACACACCCTGTTTGGAGGGAGATCACGACAGTCGCGTTATTTCACCATCGCACGAGATACATTTCCGTCTGAATCGATAATAATGAACCGTAGGTTCATCGAAACCTACTATATATTTATTAACAGAACGTCGATGAGAAAAATTGACAGTCACACGCGGATCTCTCTCGTGTCGCGACAACACGGGCAGGTTCTCAAACGAAAAGTTCTCAAAAGTACATTCAGTGCACGGGGAAAAAAGCGGGAGGAAGTGGGGAATTATAACAGATGTCACGCGCGCGAAACTCAGTCCACGCGCGAACGGAGCAGATCGAAGAGTGTGTAGTACCTCTGTCTCGTGCGCCGCTTATCCTCTCGGACGTATCACGGCAGGAAGTTGAGAGAAAAGTGCATCGAGCGAGCGGTAGCGGGTGAGACTCGTCGCGCGCGAGATCCAAGGATCCTCCTGTCTTGCTGGCAGCCGAATAGCATCCTCTCGGAGGACGGAGGAGAAAGTAGAAGAGGAGGCAGGACTGACCACCGGTGGCGCGTCGAGCCGCGACGTTGGACGGCGGCGTTCCCGTGGATACAACCCCCTCGGCGAGTCTTTCGGTCCACGAACGGCCGACGACGACGACGACGACGACGGCGACGACGACGCGGCGGAGAGCGTGCGTCGCGTGTCCGCGGGCGCGAGAGTACTGCTCCTCGTCGAAGGTGGAGGCGCCTGCACGCTCTTCGGTATTGATCCACGTGGACGACACTCCTCCTCGTTCGTCCGCTCGCTCGCTCGCTCGCTCGTTCGTTGGTTCGTTGGTTCGTCGGCTCGACCAGCCCCGCCGTCGTCACTCTTCTCAACGTCCACCGGCACCTACGATGACCACCGGCGTGTGGCGATCTGTCGTGTGAGCCGACTCCCACCCGCGAAGCGTCACCGGCTAGTCGTCTCACGCGGACCCGCTCGAGGGTTGCTTTCTCTCTCTCTCTTTCTCTTTCTCTCTCTCTCTCTCTCTCTCTCTCTCTCTCTGTTTCTCTGTGAGAATTTCTCCTCGACTCGCGCCATTTGGAAATTGTCACGACCACAGATGGGTGGAGGTGAACGAGATCAAGCGAGTTCGCAGGCGCGATTCGGCGACAGGGTTCATGTACCCCCTGTGAATGACCGGTTAATGCTCTATGCGCGCCTGAAAGATTCCATCTTTCGCGCGTGGTGTAACGCGCGTGTAAGCTGGATGGTCAAACAGATACAAAATGATAATTAAGACAAAGTAATTGCCTATCACGAAGACTTTAGAAGTAATCCAACAATTCGTACGATAATTGAATGTTATGATGTGTTGAATGGAGATCTATTGTATCGATATAAGAAAAGTTCTCGCGACACTTTGAAAAAACATGGAATACCGACAAATTAACAAATGCTTCTCTTTGAGGCACGTATGAGAAACAATTTCTCAGGGTAAAAAAGGATAATTTCTTAAGATTTATGTCGTGTATGATCGATTTCAGTTATCAGATTTTACTCTAGCTACGAGAAGACTATCTGTACATATATATATATATATATATATATATATATATATATATATATATGGAAAGAACTGTACATATATATATATATATATATATATATATATATATATGTATGTATATGTATGAAAAGTATGACTAAATCACAAATAAATCTGATTGTGTCAACCAGATTGATGGTAAAATACGGAGCAACTAATTATGTGGTTGTTGCAACCACAAAACAATTATTGAGTCACAGTGACGATATCTGATTGCTCCAACTAGAGTGTATCGATGATAAATATCATCCTAGCCGATTTCTGGTTGCCACAACCAGATCATATGCAACTACATATACGTAGTTGATGCACCAAAGTAACTGAGTCATCAAGCATGCACATTATTATCACTCTGAGATGACTAGGCTGATACAACTATGCTGCTCACAGCTAAATATTTCTGGTTATGTGCATCATGTCTGCTGTTCTGCCGTGTAGAATTCAGATTGCAGTTTTATTCCAAGACATAACACTCGAGTTTGATATCCGACTTCGGTGAGATACAACTGCCAAAATTCGAACCGCTCCTGCATACATACAAATCTGTATATTTACGTTATGAAGAATTCAACGATCGACCCGAACGCGGCAACCACCACCGAGAAGAAACTGCCTCCAAATCCCTGAGCTCGGATTCGAGGGTGGCTCGACAGGACATTGGCACGGCAAGGATGTCTGAAGGTCGTTCGTTGCTCCCAGAGCCTACGCGTATCAACGACCAAAAGTTAATTGCTTCGGTTTCTTATTTTTCTTACGTTAGCATTCTCCTGACGAACTCGCGTGCGGCGGATCTATAAATTCACGAAGATAACGAATTATCGTCATATTCGGGGACACGGCTATTTTCTTGCGGAAAATATATTCTCCTCTCGTGCAACAACGCACCACAAAAGCAAAATACTTTAATCTTATATGCACGAAACACTTTATGAAATATTCTACAAAGTGCCGTATTCTTGATGTGCAAGATGGGATGTTACCCAACTTATATCGTGTACCTTTCTCAGTGAGCAAACGACAACCAGTAAAATACCTTTACCGTTTATCTACAGTAACAGTTTATCTTACGACAACAATGAACTATGAGAGTGTCCCGAGATTGTTACGTAACCCCGGTATCAAATGTTTACGCTATAAATAAGGAATTCGCGCCATCAACGCCAGAATATCACATCCGTGGCAGCTGTGATACAGGAAAAGGGATGAAATTAACGCGCGCTTAAGTTAGAAGAGGTTCCTTTCGCTGTCGAATACTTCTTTCGAGTAAAAAAACTTGCGTATCTTCCCGGCAGCGAAAAGAGTCGAGAAAGTTGAATCCGACAGAACGCTTTTTGCCTCTCTTTCTCTTCCCCGGGAGACGAAAGATATATATTTATTCTTCTCGTACGCGACGTGCAGAAAAGCGTAACTCGAAGCTACTGTCCTCAAGACAGGATCGAGTGCGCCGCAAGAAATTCTACTACTTCGATAATGCGCGTCGTTCTTCGATACTCGCGCGAGAACAAAGTGCTCGTGGACAGCGTTTCGGATCGGTTATTGCGGGACGCCCGTCAAGAAACGAGCCTGTTAGCTTGAAAGCGCGGAGTGTCCCAGCTTCGCTCGAGGGCACTTCGTAAATGTCGGTTTTCCTTTGTGCACAGACATGACGAAAGCCGTTTGTTACATTGATCTGACGTGGACTATAAATAGCCCCGACCGTTGTTTTCATTGCGGCTTGATTTTACTTTACAATCACCGGCGCGGAGAACAATTATACTCGCGGAATGAGCTCGGTAGAGTTCATGAGACCCTGTCATTGTGTCGGGAAATTGGCGAATACGGATAGAATAAATCGATTCAACGCTATTTGACATTGAGATCGTTTTGTGTTCATCGCGATACTTGTCACACTGTATGATTAGTTTGCAAAGTTTCTACTTGTATGTAGCTTCGCATCAACTGTTTCCGTATACTGCATTTTAAAAATTGTATAAAATAAATCGATAGTTTTCTATACCTTAACACGGTATATGAAGTATATGATGAATAGTTGCCAGTTGCTGAAAAATACCCGGGAGGAAATCGTGGCATATTCCAAGTTTTCCAAATCATTTTCTTCATGGTAACTCACTCAATGCTGGTAACTCATCCAGTTCGTATATCGATACAGTAGATCTCTCCCTCCGTCATGGTTACGTGCAGTTATCGTACGAACACAATTGAGTTGTTTAAAGGGATGCCGGATATGAAAACTTTACCGACATAATATTGACTTTTTTCTGCAAAGTTTACATTTTGTTGCTTGCACAGAATTACAAACGCTTTTACATAACAAAAGTGCATGTAAAAATTAATTGGAGCATTACTCAATATGTGATGAAAACGAAAAAAATATGTTTAAATTTAAATTTTGAGCTGTCAGTTAGTGCAATATTTGTTTAATGTAAACATCCTGCAGGTTGTACATACCGAAACTGTGGATGGAACTGTGGATCAATTAGGAAAAATTCAAAGATCATTACTACACTTTCAGAATTTAGTTTCGATGCCAAAAAAGATACGAAAAGTTTGCAGAAAAGTTTATGATTACATGCGGATAGATTTTTCGACACTATGATAAAGTAGAGCGAAAAGTCAGTTCACGGATATTTTTCGAGATGGTATCGTACTTTTATCGCACTTTTCACAAGATACGAATATTCAGAGTTTATATATATATACAGGGTGTCCCGAAGTCCCATGATGACCCTTGGTGAGAACGTAGAACGGATTGAGGTGAGCAAGAAAGTCCTGTGCCGTTTTGCGATATTCGCAATAGTTTTTGAGAAATTAATTATTTTGTCTCAACAAATCAGCGTACAGAAAGCGGCAGCGGAAAGAAAGATGCCTTCGGCCGACGTGCGACCGTGACACTCGCGAATCGTAT